TGATGGACCTCTTAGGGTCTTTGGAAGGACCTCTGTTGGTCTCTTGTACTTCTGATGGACCTCTGAGGGTCTTTGGTAGGATCTCTGTTGGTCTCTTGTACTTCTGATGGACCTCTTAGGGTCTTTGGAAGGACCTCTGTTGGTCTCTTGTACTTCTGATGGACCTCTGAGGGTCTTTGGTAGGACCTCTGTTGGCCTCTTGTTGGACCTCTTAGGGTCTTTGGAAGGACCTCTGTTGGTCTCTTGTTGTACTTCTGATGGACCTCTGAGGGTCTTTGGTAGGATCTCTGTTGGTCTCTTGTTGGACCTCTGGGGATCTTTGGTAGGATCTCTGTTGGTCTTTGGAAGGACCTCTGTTGGTCTTTGGAAGGACCTCTGTTGGTCTCTTGTTGGACCTCTGAGGGAGTCAGCTTAGGATCTGAATTGTCAGTCTTAGTAAACCGAGACAGGATTGGACCGGCAGGAAACAGAATCTAAGTGCTTCCTGTCTGTGAGCAGATCAGGTGGACTGTTTTCAGCATGTTTGTCTTGTAAGTGGATCGCTGAGCAGACAGAGGCTGAAAAAGTTGAAAAGTTATTTTAAGAAGTGACTCAGCAGAAAACTGATCAGAGGTTTTTACTGCTGTAGCTGCAGAGGACTCCAATAAATTATGTGTTCTGGGTCACTTCTGGGAACAGAAAAGGTTTTTAGCTCCATGTGAGTCAAGTGTTGCAGTACGGAGGCTAAAGTTCTGCTTACCTGTTTGTCTTTCAGCCAGGTGGGTGTGAGGGATCTCAGAGGTCAGGTCAGGTGTTGACTTCAGTCACCTGCTGCAGTTTGTTTTTACTCAAACCATCAGCTGGGCACTGTCCAGTTTTCTGTTGCCTAAAAGAGACCAGAGCGTTGGAGGAGATTCCCCCAACCTGTGGAGGTGTGCAGATGTATTTCAGATTTAACAGGATTTATAATAGATTGACCTAAAAACACCCATTTTTCTCATGATAACCAGAAATTATTTCCTTATTTAACCAGAAACCAGGAGGCTGAGATCTGAGTCAGTATGGTTGATTTGATTTGATTTATTGATTTAACAGGACAAGATTACTAAAAATCAAGCCTGACTCAGCATAATTGCTGTTTTACAGCAGGTTCCTGTTCTGCAGCACATAAAACACTCAGAAATACAGCATCA